AAGAGAGGAGAGGAGCCAGAGATTTCTGCCATAAACTTCATCAGTTATTGGTTTCTGAAGTAGTACAGAAATAAAGACATTCCTAAGTTAACAGCTTTAGTACTCATGATGACAAAAGTGTTCTTGTTAAACTGTTAAATATCTTGAATAAGAATGTTTTTACAACTACCAAGCTGAAGCAAATGAGAGATGTTTATTGGTTATAATGACCTACTGTTTATGTCTCATAGCAACTGCCTCTGCAAAAAGTTGCAACATATTAGTTAACATTTGCAGCTTTTGGTTCATTTCATGATGACTATAGAACAAATTAATCAAAATTATTGTACCCCTCACAGTACCTTGTTTTCAGTTATGTTTGCATTTCCTCCTCTGCACAGTCCTTACCTGCTTTCATGCTGCCTTTCCTTCCTGACCTGGCCTGGTGCTGCCCTGGCCTCAGCGCTCCCACACAGAAGCATCAGGAACTGTGTGCAGTCCAGGGCTCCTTGAGTCCAGACACATGGTGGGGTATCCTGCAGCAAGTCCAGCCAATCACCACATACTCTTGTGACATCTATTTTGCTTTTGTATGACCAAAACAGTAAAGTGGGATTTAGGAACAGAGCTTTAGGGTTCCTTACTTTTCAAGCTTCCGTATTTTTTCTTTTCATATTGTTAGTCCAATAAGTATTTTGATTGCTTTTATCCTACTATTGTAACAGATTAAGAAGCAGTAAGTTTGGGTAGGTTTTATGGTTTTCTTCTTATAGGTGGTCACAGGTATTGATTACCACGTGGGATGGTCCAAGTCATCTTTTTTTTTTAGCCATGATCTATTTCCTGAAAATATGCAAAACTAACAAAAATGGTACTTTTTGTCCACTGGAAGGCAGTGAAAAAAAAAAAGGGACATTTTAAACTTTTAAAAAACTTTTAAAACTTTTTAACAAATAAAAACTTAAGTTTTTATTTGAATTTGAATTAGCTGCTGAATTGTAGCTGATTTTTACCTAAAAGGCCAGAAGGAAATCCTGGGCTGGTATCTGCCCCTACGTTTTTATCCTTAAGATTTCAGTTCTAGAAATTCTGCTGTGGGAAAAATCAGCATAACATCAAGTATAGGGGAATCCGCAGACTTGTGTTCTTTGGCAGTTTTCCACAGAATACCATGAATACTCTGTGTTATTATTTAGCAATGCCCTTATGCACAGTGCATCAGACAGAAAACTCCTTTAGACTGCAAAAACCCAACCAGTGCATCCTCCTGGGTAGTATCCTGAGCTTATATTTCTCAATCTCATTAACTGATCTCTCTTTTCAGTAGCAACGGAAGTCAAAACAATACCAAACATGTCATATATATCTGCTGCATGTCTCAAAGATGTCAAAAAGATATGTTTTTCCCCTACAACATTTTTTCCTCCAAAACAGTCTGAGAAAACTGCTAGTGACAGAGATAAATAGGAATTTGAGGAGAAAAGGTTCGTAAGGTGTACTAACAAACAACAGTTTTACTTTAGCCTTTACAGTTTTTACTTTAGACTTTCAAGTTTTTACAGACTTTACTTTTAGACTAACAGTTTTACTTTACTTTAGGCATAAGATTAAAATGTTTCTAAGGTCAGATAACCATACCATAGCGCTTGTTTTAGTCACTGAAATATGTGTACAGCTGAAAACAGACTAATTTTTAGAGCTAATATAACTCAAAATGTATTCCCACCCATAGGTCAAGGAAACCATGTAGAAAAGCTATCTATCTCATACAAGAACTCTGTACTCCAACAAGATCCCAGATTGTTCCCATTCCTTTATGAATGCATATTAGTGGTGATTTAAAACAGAAAGGGGGAAACAGAGCTAATCATATTCCAATGTTTCCTCAGTGCCTCTGATGACTTAGTCAACACCAAGCACCGAATGCGCAACAGCGAGCCACAACAATAAAGAATTTCAGAGAAAAAGACTCCCTAAAGGCCATATGGGCCTGGACTATGTCTTCGTTTAATTCTATTAAAATAGAGGTTCTTTTTTCAGTCCAGGTGGGAAAAGGTTTCTAACTTATTCTTGGTCAAGTAGAAGAAATCATGGAGAGGAAAAGGAATTCAAAAGCTGTCGCTCCTAATGTCCTGGCCCAAAGAAGTTTCAGCTCCTCTCAGTGTGAGTCGCGAGGCTGCCATCCATCTTTGACCCTGTAGGGTTTAGCATGAAGAACTAAAGCAAATATCAACTGTGATGGATCAAAAGGGAAAAGGCACAGGGAAACCTGCAATTGCACTCACCAGTTTGTGTGATCTTCTGGTTTTGCTTTCTCCTGGAGTCCAGTGGGAGGAAATGTGAACCATCAAGAATGGAATAACTCTGTATCGAGGAGAGAAAGAGAAAGAAGAATGCAACTTCTCTTTGACGTGATGATAAAAGACATAGGGAACTCTTCCGTAATGGGTTTCCACATTTGAACTCCCAGCTACTTTTAGACATTCCACAAAATAATGTACTCATTTTCATAAGGACCATGGTCATTATTGATTAAAAGATTTCAGCTTTATCTGTGTCAAGTTTCCAACTTCTGCTTCTTCTGTCCCACACGTACAGCACAAGTTATGCAGTCCATGTCCCTAAACGATAGAGAACAATTACCTTTAGTTTATACCAACTACAAACCTATAGTTTATGGACAAAAAAAAATAAGTAGGGTAGAAGGACCATGTAATTAGGTCCTTCACCTTTTAGCTTACGCACTGAAATTAAGTTGCATTAAGTTTCAAGCAACACACTTCTGAAATTAGTATCAAAGCTTTCTGTAAAGTCAAGAAGGTGTGTTTGCCTTAGGAAGTGGATCATATTGAGACATTAGAACCTAAATTTAAGATTTGCATATGCAAATGTGTATGACTACTTTGCTTGGGTGATCAAAGCAAAGAAACTAAACTTGTCTAATGCTGCCTAATATGAGGGAAAGGGCAAAAGCTCTGTGTTGTCAAGAAAGGCTTAAGAAACCAGAATCCAAAGATTACAGCTTATCTTTCTGATAGATTTTTTTGGGGGGAATTGATCAAATCCATATCTTTTATGTTTCAGATCTATTATGTGAGTTTACCTTGCACTCCTAGAGATCACAAGGGTGAATTCATTTTAAAGATTTTCTTTGTAGAAGATATGACGTATCCTTTAACAAGAAGAATTTCTAATTAAAACAATGTGGTCTATGAGCATGTTGTGAAGTATCTCAGTCTTCAGGCGGTGAAAGATTCTATGCCTATATATATTGGTATGGGTATATATATGGGTGTAACCCATTGGCAGACCATGGTACTTAAAAATTAGCATGCAAACAGTCTCTCCAAATGACTAAATACAGCATCCCAGTACTATTACCCTAAGAGTGTTTCTTTAGTCTCTTTCTGCTTCTTCCTTTCAAAACCATGATCTTAATCTTTCCTCCATTCCTGGATACCTGATCACTGTCATGCTCTCCTCTGATGTTGTCCATTTGCTCCACATTTCAAAATGTGATGACCAAAAAAGGATTCATTTTTCCAGCTGAGTGGACTTATTTCTATTTTTTAACTGAATTTCCTTCACTGGAGTACAGAGCTGTGCAGGTCATGCCCTTGCCTGTGGTCACAGCCCCAAGGGGCCAAGTAAGTGCAGTAGCAAAGCTGGGGCTGGTGGTGGGACCCATTGGCAGCTCCCACATGGCAGTGATGGACAAAGCGTGGATTCCCTTGGCGGGACCATCAGGAGCAAAAGATGCTGATGCCAGAAGGGGTCTGGGGAAAGGCAAAACTATTACTGGGATCTATTGAGATCTACTAGGTGAAAAAAAATGAGGAAGATTGCAGCTGATCATCTAGAGAATTTTTTTTTTAAAAAAGGTAATGGGCCCACACCTTTAAATAAGAGCATTTGTGATGTGTCTCAATATCAGTCTAGTTGCCTTACTCAGACATTCATCTAGTAATTCTGAATTCTTCCCTTGAATGAAAGAATTTGTTTTTGCTTCCATAATTCTGAATCATTCTATGTTTCCTATCCAAAGCTATATGGGCAACAGCCAGATGCTACAACCTTTATGGCTAGGTATCACAGGAACAGTTTTTCCTATTTCTTTGAATAATAATAACGTCATGCATTTCTAACAGATTCATCTCACATGTTAAAGTGTATGAAAAATTTACAATATCTTAAAAATTACATTTTGCTTGTAACTTTACCACTTCTTAGAAGTACTTTTAAGATGACCTTGTAAAATGTAGTACAGTTTAGTCTAAAATTAGTAATATTAGACTTGAGGAATAGTTCATTTTCATATCCAGCAATAGATCTTATCCAGGAGCACTCAGGAAAGACAGGACCTCCCTTATTTTTATTATCTGCTAACAATCTTTATCAGACTTTCCATGCATATTGTAATACTTCACAAATGTGTAGAAGTCAGAACATGACATACTGTTTTTATGGTAACTCACAATACCAAAGTTTTCAGAAAAAAACAAAAAACAAAAAAACCATTGTTCAACAGAAAAGAATTTTCCTAGGATGCTTAGATGTTCTGCTAGACATTCAAATAAGAAAGCCTAGTCAACTGTGCTTTCAGAATCCCACAAGATCAAAATAACTTACATTTCCCACATGGAACAACTTCTTATCGCATTTTTTCTGCATTCTGTGTAAACAGGGTAAATAGTATGAAGTACAATATGACAAAACATGTTGTATGATTCATAAGATTTTATTTACTCTTATGTCTTGCTGTGGTATGTTTTTTATTTATTTAATCTACTTTGCTCCTTTAATTTTAAGAATGTTCCAGCTGCACTAGCCGAGGAAGTTCTCAGTGTAGTAATAATAGTGGATTAGTTCTTGTTCTAATGAAAGTTCATCCAGGCTTTTCTGTTAAATCTGGTATTATTTTGCTATTTCTCCCTCAGAATCATCTGCAAAGGTATGCATATTTCTAAAGCTGCATGAATCAATTCAGCTTTGGCAGTCAGAATTTAAACCTATCATTTCGTGTCTTGTTACTATGTAGTCTTTTGTCATACTTTTTGGCAACATCCCCATTGCATTGGACTATAGTCAGCCTATAACATTATTAGCATCTACATGTTTGTTTAACTCAGAACTGGCTTGTAACAAGCCATTTTTGGATGCAGGTAGGTTCAAGACATGCCTGTCTTATAGGCACTAAGTTAAATGGTCACATCTTCAAGAATGCTCAGTATGTCAGAACTTGTTATCTGGATTCACTGGACATGAATATAAATGACAGTCTCCTGGAAGATCAGGAAAAATAAAAAAAGGAAAGTGTCTTTGTAGTCCCCAAATGCTGATGCTACAACAAAGAGTCCTTTCGAAAATGCATTAACCTCCATCTTAAAAATTATGCTTGCTTCCTATTATTTCTATTGTAAATTATCCCAGAACTAGATTGTACTATCATACAAAAAAATCTAATTTTTGGTCTAAATCTAATCTCCGGAGGGCTAGTTCATATCCCTTGATCCTGTGTCATTTCAACTTCTTAGTTTAATCAGTTCTTTTCCATCTCTTGCTTTTATCTGGCGGCCTACAAGCATTAGTCATATCATTTCCTAGTACAACCTTTGTACTAAGCTAAAGGCTCTTCTCTCGTAAGATGGTATCCCTATTTCCTACCTCAATCTAACAGTCCTCTGAATCCTGCTGATTTTTCCACACTTATTTTATTGAAATGTTCCCTTTATAAACCCCAAAGCATCACTACAGTCCTAATTTTGGTTTAGGTTTGGTTCATTTTAATTTAAACTGAATCAATGTGTCATCACATGATCCCAAAGTTATATTTTGAAACGAGTCCATACATAATGTCCTCATCAGTCACTGAAATCAATTAATAGAATTAACCCAAAACCAGCATCAAACTATTTTACGAAACAATGTGTTAGAAATTATATGAAGACACATCTGTGTTCTCCCTGTATTAGTTTCCTTGGTTCTCTTATTTTTATACAGGAAATAAAAATCTTCCAGATTATATAATTCTTGAATACATGCATTTCTGCAATAGCTTCCAAGATATCTCTACCTTTATACAATGAAGACTTCTAGCAAAGCCGCAACAAAAAAAAATCATCATCATCCTTTCACCAGTAGATTCAGTTCACTTCATCCCCAGTGTATTTCTGTCATCTCTCACATGGACTATGATGTCCATCTGCATCCATCAGATAATCCCTTTGGATTATCTCTCTTTGGAAATCTTCAGGAGATCTGCATCCCTACAACATTGTGTTATTCAGGAAGATCGTTGCACCTCAGCAGGATAGGCATCTGCCCTAGGCAGACTGTATCCTGCACAGAAGTACCTGCTACACCGGCTGTTAAAGTATTTCCATTTTGTTGGCTGGGTTGTTGATATTTATGCAATCCGTTGCTTCATACTGGTCACTCTATAGGAGTCTTATTGTGTTATATCCGCACTGCCAACCAAGACTGGGACTTTCTTTGTAGAGCTGCACCCTATTACTGTTCAGCAAGCAGTAGTTGGCAGTAGAAAGGGAAACAGTGAAAAGAAGTGTATAAAGCCTTTTGCTAAAACCTTTTTCTCCTTGGTCAGTAACCAGTCCATTTATGTTGGCCTCCTTGTGTGGTGAATGCTGCGTGGGTGGCTGGATCCCCTGCCTAGGTTAGGTTTTGAGTTACATGACCTCATTTGCTGTTGAGTTTCACCAAAAATGAGACTGAGAAAATATCTTCTTTGGGTGGGTAAATTTGGATCTCTTAACACCATACAAAAAGAAAAAAAAAAGTATAATATTTGTGTGAGTTATTTTTAAGGAACAAATTAGAAAACGCTACAAGCAGAGTACAGAAAAGGACTGTCTCTCCCATAATAAAAATATCCATCCATTCCTGTTTTATGAAAGGAAATTAAATCTATTTTAATGTAAAATAAATGAGTGTGACTCAAGGATATACTCCTACCTAATAAAAATAACTGCCATCTGAACATAAACATGAGTTGGGTAATTTATATAAAATCTAATTATTTTAATAAATGGTGAATAAAAATGAAATGAGTTTTGTAATGCTTCTAAGTTTCTCTGCCACCATACATATTTAAATGTGATGTATGTAGGTAGCTGGACAAACTATAAAATAGTCAACAAAATCTGAGTCTGGCTTCTTTTGTATCTTAAGAACATTTAATTTTTCACAAATCTTTCCTACTCAGTCAGGACTTCATGCTTAGTGAGTAATGGGGCAAATCTTAGTGACATTGTCTGTCAGCTTGCTATAGAGTAGTTATTTTTAACTCAGTCCTCACTCATCTAAGGAAAATTACATTAATAAATTGTCTTTTCTTTAGTTCAGGCAACACTAAGGTTCCCTGAAGGAAAGCACGTGGGCAGGCATAATAAAACTGATTTAATTTGAACCACTATCACAATTTCTCATGCTTTGAAAATAGCTGTTGAGATGAAGCATGAAGAAGTTATTAACAATATCTTATGATCTCTTCAGATTTTGATGTCATTCCAACATATTCTGCCCCCGCAGCTCCCACTGAAAACTTATCTCAAAGAAATGGTGAGTATCCTCCATTAGTGTAGTAAGTTTCTAAATATTGTGACATGAGTCATGTAATTTTAATGTCATTACTCTCAAAGCATTTAAAATAGAGGCTAATTTTTAGGGGTGAACCTTTAGTGAGGACAACATTTTGTGTAAACAAATGACAGAGCCCTAAGTAGCTGCTGCTGTTTCACAGCAGGATGGGAGCCTGAGGTCTGCAGAAATGGCTGCTTAAGCAGTGTTCCAGGGCTCGTGTTTCTTATTTCTTCAGGCCAGGTCTTCAGGCACCTCATACATTCACCATTTGCAGATGAATTATGTGGTTTGCCTCAAAGGACAACTTCTACCAGGGTATGATGAAAAGCTGCAGTTGTGAGCCGCTTTCATGCAGGCCTGAATTCGAATGAGAATGGTCATTTGGTTCCTATGTATAATTAGCAATTAAAGCAATTAATCCTGTGGAAAAGCCATTAGGAAAGAACTGTCTAGGATTAATGATGAACAATGGAATGCAGAGGGCATAAAATATTTGATTCCTCTGTCCTTATGTAACTCCTGTTCTTAACTTTTTCCCAGCACCTTGCAAAATGTCTAAGGCACTTCAGTGAAGCAAGATTTTAAGCGATCTTCTTTTAGGCTAAAAAGGTGAGGCAATAATGAATTTAGCCCTCTCTGTCTCTCTTCGTCCTTCCTCTGCATTGTAAGGGACTAAAAGCAAAGGTGGACTATCTACTCCCTTACTGAAATACTCTACCTTTAAATGAATGATGAACTCTGATTTATTCATGCTGTGGAAGTAGATTCAAGCATTTCAGTCACAGATTGGTTTAGTGAGAGGATCTATCAAAGCCACAAAGGAGCAAAGCCACTGCTAGAAATGGATGACATGCCGTCATCTCAATGGCCTCCTTTGTTCAACCACATTTGATGCACATGACAACGAAAAAAAGCATCTGATCCTTCAGAAGATAAATCACCAAATCACATCATTGCTAAGTGGACAGGCATGCCATATCTGTCTTTCTCACTATGCAGCTTTTCAGGAAAGATGCTGAAATGCCTTGTGTTCTTTGTGGGTAACGCTGCCTTCAGATCTTTGATGAATAGCGGAAAATGTTGATACCTTGTTTTCATTTTTCACCCTTGGGTTACTCAACATGCCAAGTCTAAAATTAATGCTCACCACACTCCTAAAGCAGAATGTAATCCTAGCAATGAAGATTCCCATCAGCTGTGATATCATGCCTTGAGACAAGTTTGTCTATGTGGTTGAGAGAAGTCTTGATTGGATTTTCCCATTGCACTTTGTCAATGCCAGTACCAACTCTACTTGTAAAGTGTAGGGTTCCCAGGGCATATTATTGAGCAGAAAAACAAATGTTATCTTTTAAATTTGCAGGAATCTTCTCTTTTGATCATTTATTTACCATATTCCTCTTTCTGATGCAATATCATGATCCTTCTTGTCCCCTAATTCAGTGCTGCTCAGGAACGAATGTTGTGACTGTGGCTGGAAATCCAGGGTCATTCTGATATTCCCTTATTCTGATTTTATTCTTCCTGTATCCATGAACTCCTCAGACATTTAGATACATGCCAAAAAGTTTACTTTAAAAATGATTTAGGCAATGTAATATTATAGTATACATTTTGGAAACTCATTATTTATGGCTTGATGTCTCTACAAAATGAAGAATACTATACTGAGAGCATCTGAAAGACCTTCCCCTATCTTCAAACCCAGCAACAGCAGCATTAAGAGCACAAAGAATAGGTTAGCTCTATCCTACGGAGTAGCTTTGAGCAGGCCATCTTTGTAACACTTCAACTTTTATTTCATCTGGGCCATTTCGATGATTTGGAGCACTAATGCTGCGTCAGTGCAGGGTAGACTGCTGAGAGGTTCTGAATAGGCACTCTTCAGAAGGTGCTTGCCCAGCTTTATTGGCATGGATGTTCCTATGTTCTCTCAAACACATTTATATCACCTCACAGGGAACTTCCTTGCTGTGAAAAATGTCAAAACATTGCAGTCTGCCAAGATCTCCCATTTTCAGAGGACCCAACTCTACTGTTAACATTTAGCAAAATATTCCAGGATAATTTTACTATTTTGGCAAATTAACAAGATTTTTTTTCTCTGTGAAAACAATCAATGACTCCCACTCCAGATTATCACATATATATTTTTTTCATACAAATAAAAATATCATATCTGTGACTTCTGGGAAAAAATCCCTCATAATTCTGATGTTATATTTCCTGTCATCTCTGATTACTGCAAGGTCTGATAAGGGATCAATGTTTCTACAAACTCACATCTTCTCAAAATTAATCCTGTTTCAAAGCAGATTTCTTGTTGTTGTTGCACATCGTATATACTATATACTGAATATTTTCTGCTTACTGGTTTGTCATACTGCTGGTGCTGATTCGCAATTGCTGTTCATGCTTCTTTGGAAGCTTATGAAGAGGGAAACTTTGCACTGAAACACTTAGGTCTTTATTTTGGACCATTAATTGGAAAAGATTTGCAGAGCATATATGTTTATAACATGAATAAAAAGCAATAAAAAAAGGATGTTCTAGACCAATGAATATTCCCAGCTCAGAGAGAATGGAAGTCAACCAGGAGTCTTTCCATTGACTGTGCTGGATTTTGGATTAGTTCTCATGTAAGTAAGTGGTGTCCAAAGGTCTGAGCTCTTCGGTTATGGTCCATATCTGTTGGAGTTACCAGGAAATGTGTGCAGTGGGCCATTTTCACTAAACCTTTTTTTTTTTTTTCCAAATCCAAGTTACACAGACAAAAAGAAAAATACCGTTATCCAGTTGTTGCAGTCTTCCAGAGTGCCTAGTTTACATATGATCGAACTCTCCAGTTATAAAAAAGTAATGAAAACTTTGCTAGCTGAAAGTGGTCATAAATATAGTTAAATTGGGAATTAAGAATTAAGAGAGTTTCTGAACTAGACTTCTCCTGTAGGTCAGTGCATGAAATGAGTTTTAAGAGGAAGATGATAAATGTAGGGAGAGGAATTTTTATCAGAGACAGCCTACATGTATCAGGAGCTGGACATAGGGCAGAAGACAAAATATGCTTTAGAAGTGAGTCATTGTTCTTGGACATTTTTTATGCTGTTTATTGTTTATCTTTATGCTCTTTTGGTTAGTCTTTGTCCTAAAATAGGTCTTGAGCTCAGCCTTCTCCTTGCCAGGGTTAAAATTTTGCCACAATCATAAGAGAACAATTTAGAAATGTGGTTAAGCTAGTAACTCATGAAGAATCCTCCATTTGATTAAATTCTGAAAAGCAAATTTCCAGATAGAATGAAATCAGACTTTTTCTCCAATTGCACTTGGTGCGCTCCATATCTAGCAAGCACACAGATAAAGAGAAAATCCAGTGAAATAAGATCAGAATAAAACTCTTTGACCTCAGCTTTGCATAACTAACATAAGAAATGTAACACTGAAGGAAAGTCAATTTTACCAACAGAGTATGTCTTCATCTCTTCCTCATTTAGTGACGACAATGAAAGACAGAAAAAAAAAAAGTGACTCACACAGGCAATATGGATGAGTAAAACTTTTTAAGGCTATCTTACACATTTGACCAGTGTGTTGATCTTGCTGCAGACCTTTTATGGATGATCTGATATATACATGAGCATAGAATGAATGTGGGGTTGAGAAAGAGCTTTTTTCCCACACATAACCCCCAACCACATGAATATGCAATAAATTTTAAAGGCACAGTTCCTAGCAAGCATGAGTTATACAAGGCTGAGTACTAGGTGATTTCTTAGTGTGCAGAAAGAATAGGAAAGGGAGGCCTGTGCCTTTCAGAGTCAGTTTAGGACACAAAAGTCTGGGAAAAGTGGAAGTGGAGTGATTGCCATCTTCCTTTACTCAAAAAGCCCACAGTCTGTGATCAGGCTGTGCCTGCACACTCCAGCCCAGTAGGCTTAGTGCTGCAATCCAGGCAGCCAGAGTCAGTACAAATTAATGTCCATAAAAATAGGAGTGCTTTGAACCTTCTAACATACGAGAAATATGGTTTTCAAAAGTGTGGAGTCATGTTATTTCCATGGTGGTCTGCCTCAAAATATGGCTAGCCAGGTAGGCAATCCCCTGGTGACAGAATTTACTTCTGGGTATCATGTGAAGTGCTAGAAGAACTTCGTTGGATTGATTGAAATAGCACTTGCCACCTTACAGGCTTCTTTTCTTCTTGCCTTCTGTTCCTATTTTTCTATTCTGCACATGTCAATTCCACAATCTTTTAGTAACAGAAGTATAATCTAAAGAGTATATTTTTTAAACCTAATTGAATTTATTTTGGAAGCTCTCTGGAGATATACCAACAAGAAAGAGGCAATTATTCAGTGGAAGCAAACCCTCATATGCATGGCAACATGTTCAGTAATCCCTTCCTGCTGTGAAACATATTAGAGTTCTGATCAAATCACATCATCACTGCTGGGATTTCCCCAGCTGCATTTCTTAATTTGTGAAACCATGCAGTTTAAACGATGTTTTAAATAGAAATAATTATATATATTGTCCATGTGGCATTTTTTTCTGATGGAATAAGTTGGGGCCAGTTCCAAGGCTCATCCAACTAATCCCTCTTTCCAGGCAGGGCACCACTTAAAGTCACTTGACTGCATCTGTAGTGGATTGCCTGAAGGAAATGTAGGCAATCCTTACATGCCTGGGTTTTGTCAATACCACTGTATATATTTAGTGACAAAAAGAAGCAAGCAAAATTCTGTTTTCCTGCTCAGCCTTGTGATCTCAAATCTAGAAGAAAGTTTCTTAATGCTACTGTTAGACCAGACTGTTTAATCCGTTTTATAGGCAGTGTAGGGATTTTCAGTGCCCTTTCAACATTTGAAAGCACAGTCAGGACCACCCATCCAGAAACTTGCGATGTGTACACCAAACTCAGCTGTTACAAGGTTAGCATGTTCCTGCCTTGGCAGCAGGGCTCGTGTTTATCCAGAGCACTAACACATGCAGAGCAGGTGCTTACTGTTTGATAGTTCCCTGTACCTGCTCTCTTGCTACCGGAAAATGAATGAATCAAAATGTAAACTGACAGACAAGTAACTGTGATTCTTGGAAAATCTGTGCGGTGTCAAATACAGCCTTATGGCTATTTCTAGCTTATAACAGTTGAGACAGAGCATAATGAGGTGTTTTTTTCTTTTTTTTCCATTTCCGTTTTTAAGACAAGACTCAGAATCACTGAACCCTGTGATTCAGAGTATATATCCAGATATATCCAGATATACCGAATATATCCAGAACTCCTGCTTGTTTGCTACATTTGTGCTTCCTTAACAGTGGTTAATTCTGTTGGCAGCTCTAGACCATGAATTCTGTGGGGTTACTTTGATATTTGTTGCCCTGGTCCATCGGACTTCTGCAGAGATTGCTCCTCAGCTTACCCCAGGGCTGCCTCTGTGAAGGTCTCAGCTTGGCTTCCACTCACTTCTGTGTCCTCTTGACAGAGTATTTGCCAGTATGGTCTGCTGCAGAAATTTCGCAGATCTCCAGCTACATTAATTTTCTTTTGAGAAATGTTTGACAGCTGCTGCTCCAGGTGCAAATGGACCATGCACTGCTGTCCTTGGCAGCAGGAGGCCCTGCAGTCACCTCTCAGTTCCTGTTACCTCTCAGCTCTAGCATGCCTGCCTTCAATTTTCTTTCAGCTGCCAACTATGTTGACCA